AGTGACCTTTCCTATATATATATGTTTGTAAGTAGAGAGAGGGTCTTGCTGTATTGACCAGGCTGGTCATGAACACTTGGCCTCAAGCAGTCCTCCCTCTTTGGCCTCCCAAAGTGCTGGGGTTACAGGCATGACCCATCACACCCAGCCCTATTAAAAAAAATATTTTCAACATATGCCTCTTGTCATTCCCAAGTTTACTGGTCTATAAAACCTCTATCAAGAGTTTTTATTACTCATTTACTTGCAAAAGCTTGACATTATCATAATAATGTCTAGAACAGCATGCCCTTCCTGATCTTTGATCTGGTTAGGGAGCTTTTGGTTCACAATCTGAAGCAAGGTTTTTCAAACTTGGCACTATTGATATTTGGGACCTGATCATTTTTGGTGGGGGCTGTCCTGTGCACTGTAGGATGTTTACTTGTATCCCTGGCCTGTAGTAGGAAAACGCACATCCTCAGGGAATGGCTGGGGCTCCAGTCGCCCTCAGAGCAGAATCTTATCCTCAGTATCACCATAAGATGGAGGAGAAGAGAGGAGGAGCTAAGAGAAAACACAGGACTTGGCAATCAGTATCAGTTGGTTATTATGGCAAGGTAGGTTACAAGTGGGTACAGACACAGGGAGGCCATCCGAGATACCTCTGGTGGCATCTGGGGGTAGTGCTGGAACACAGGCTGCCCAGCCCCTTGTTAAGGCATTCATTCCAGGGTTCAGTCATCAGATGTCGGGGCAGACAAAATGAAGCTTATTGGTATATATCATACCACCCATATTTTCTCAGAGTTTTAGATTTACTTCATTTAGAGTTTTAATCCACCTGGAATTAATTTTTATAATTGTGTGAAGAATCTCATTCTATTATCCTATTGAGATATCCAAATGTTCCTATATTATTTATTGAATAATGCCTCCTTTCTCCATTGTTTTTTTTCTTCCTTAGCTTTATTGTATGATTAGCATACCTGATTTCCACAAAAGGTCTTACTGGGATTTTGAATGGGATTGCTTTGAATATTTAGATTGATTTTGGGAGAATTGACTTTTTTTTTTTTTTTTTTGGAGACAGAGTCTTGCTCTGTTTTCCAGACTAGAGTGCAATGGCACAATCTCAGCTGACCACAACCTCTTCCTCCCGGGTTCAAGCAATTCTCCTGCCTCAGCCTCCTGAGTAGCTGGGACTACAGGCATGCACCACCACACCCGGCTAATTTTTGTATTTTTTTTAGTAGTAGAGGTGGGGTTTCACAATATTGGCTAGACTGGTCTCGAACTCCTGACCTTGTCATCTGCCCGCCTCGGACTCCCAAAGTGCTGGTATTACAGGTGTGAGCCACTGTGCCTGGCCGAGAATTGACATCTTAACAATATTGACTTTTGTAACCAATGAACATGATATAGCTCTCTGTTCATTTCCTTTGTCATTTTTTGTAGTTTTTGGTTTGCATGTCTTGTACATATTTGGTTAGATTTATACCTAAGCATTTACTTTGCTGTTGTAAATGGCACTTTAAAAATAATTATTGAAATTGCATTGTAGGAAAATACATTGTAGGAAATTAGCATTTTGTACCTTGACTTCTATTCTGTGACCTTATTGATTTCACTTTTAATTTTAGGACCTTGTTTTGTAGATTCTTTGGGACATCTTATATACATAATCATGTCACCTGCAGATAGTAACAGTTTTGGTCGTCCTTTCCAATCCATGTGTCTTTTATTTCAATTTTTTTTAGACACAGGCTCATTCTGTCATGCAGGCTGGAGTGCAGTGGCACATTCTCAATTCACTGCAACCTCCACCTCCTGGGTTCAAGCAATTCTCATGTCTCAACCTCCTGAGTAGCTGAGATTACAGGTGTGTGCCACCTCACCCAGCTCATTTTTGTATTTTTAATAGAGATGTGGTTTTGCCATGTTGGCCAGGCTGGTCTCAAACTCCTTGCCTCAAGCAGTCCACCCACCTTGGCCTCCCAAAGTGCCGGGATTACAGATGTGAGCCACTGTATCTGACCTGTCTGCCTCTTCTTTGTTTTTTACTGGCCTTGCTCTTGCTAGGACTCCCAATATGATGTTAAATAGTAGTGGTAAGTGCAGACATACCTGCCATATTCACAATATTGGAGGGAAAGACATTCTGTCTTTCATCATTAAGTATGTTTTCAGCTGCAAGGAGAGAATAACATTGAATTATATGTCAGTATAGCTACTGCAGCACAATATTTAGCTTAACTACATATATTTGGTAGCCAAGACAAAAATGACTTCATGTGTGAAACTTAAGTTCCACCACAGCCTCAGCCAATTTGTGGCTAGGATTTTCAGAGATGTGGTAGAGAAGTTAGTATTTTCTCCACCATTTTCAAGTCAGGAGTAACAGTAAATATGCCATGATCATATACTATAGTCTGGGTACCATGATCTGCTATTACTCATAGCTTCAGTTAAAGATATTGTAGGTGTTAGAGGGATACCTGGGTAGTTAGGTTGTGAGGTAACCAGAAAGGTGGCTCCCATTCGAATCTAAGGAATGGTCAGTCTTCAAAATAATTATGTTTGATGAGAGAGACTTGACAGACATGAATATGAGTATCATATTAGTCTTTTCTCAAAATACTATACAGACATACCTGAGAATGAGTAATTTATAAAGAAAAGAGGTTTGATTGGCTAACAATTCCATAGGCTGTACGGGAGGCATGGCTGGGAGGCCTCAGGAAACTTACAATCATGGTGGAAAGCAAAGGGGAAGCAGGCACAACCTTCATATGGCCAGCAGGAGAGAGACAGCAAAGGAGGAAGTGCTACAAACTATAAAACAGCCAGATTGCATGAGAACTTACTACCAGGAGAACAATAAGGGGGAAATCCACCCCCATGATCCAATCACCTTCCACCAGGCCCCTCCTCCAACACTGAAGATCGTAATTCAACATGAAATTTGCCTGGAGACACAGAGCCAAACCATATCAAGTATATATTTCCTTAGAGGTGATACGATGGCTGGGGAGCCAGGCCAATGTGAACTAGCTATTATTATTAATTATCTTGAAAACTGGGAGACTTTCCAGACAAATGAGAGTAGAAATTTTCTTCCTTCCCCCTCCCTGCAAAAGGAAAACAAGTTATTCCCAACTCTTTTTGTTTTTTATTTTAGTGCTCCAATCTTCTGACAAGAATATGCTCAACTCTTCACCAAGTAAACACACAGGTTCCCATGTTTCTAAAAACTGATAAAATTAGCAATAAGTTTGTTTTATACCTAGACAATGGACATTTATGTAATGTAGATATCCAGAATAGGCAAATCTATAAAGTAAGAAAGTGGTTGTCTAGAATTGGGGGAAGAAGAGAGGGTGTGTACTTATTTGTGTATTAATTTTCTATTGCTGTTGTAACAAATTGCCATGAGTAGTGGCTTAAAACAACACTAATTTATCTTACAGTTTTGGAGGTCAGAAATCCAAAGTGGGTCTCATTGATATAAATTCAGGATTTAGACTAAGGAAAGAATCTGTTTCCTTGCCTTTTTTATTCTCTGGAGGCCACTCACTTTCCTTGACCCTTGGCCCCTTCTTCCATTTTCAAAGCTGGTGAAGTTGGGCTAAGTCCTTCTTGTGCTCTCATCTCTGTGGTTCTCTTTCAATTCCCTCTTTCATGTTCAAGAACTCTTACGATGACATTGGGCCCATCTGAATAATCCAAGATGATAATTTTTAAAAATTTATTTATTTTACTTCAGGTGCATACTATATCTGGCATTTCTCCCCATGTTAACCCTCCCCACCCTCCTCTAAGACAGGGTCTCACTTTGTTGCCCAGGCCAAAATGCAGTGGCTAAATCCAGGCTCACTGCAGCCTTGATCTCCCAGGCCCAAGTGATCCTCCCAACTCAGCCAGTAGCTGGGACTACGGGTCTGTGCCCATACCTGGCCAATTTTTGTTCCTTTTTGGGATTTTTTTTTGGTAGAGACAAGGTTTTGTCACCTTGCCCAGGCTGGTCCAAACTCCCAGGCTCAAGCGATTTGCCCACTTGGACATCCCACAGTGCTGGGATTACAGATGTGAGCCACTGCTCCCAGCCCCAAGGTAATCTTAAAGTCATCTGACTAGCAATCTTAATTTCACCTGCAACCTCATTTTCCCTTTGTCATGTAACCTAACATACAGATTCTAGAGATCAGGACATAGACATCTTTGAGGGGAAAAAAACACCACTCTGCTTACCACAGGGAAAATGGAGAATGGCTGCTGATGGTTATGAGATATCCTTTGGGGAGATGAAAATGTCCTGGAATTGACTGTGGTGATGCTTGCACAAGTCTGTGGACACACTAAAACCTATTTAAGTTTATACTCTACATGGATGAATAGTATGGTGTGTGAATTAAATGTTAATAAAGCAGGTATGTGTGAGTGTTCAGTATTTCTAAAACTAAATTATTTCACCTTCTTTCCTGAAACCAGCTCCTGTTCTTCAATTCCTGATCTCAGCTATTAGGTCATCCAAAATTCATGGCTATCATAGATGCTCTGGCTGCCTCGTATTCAATCATTTTTTTAAAATGTTCACCGTTTTCACTTCCTAGTTACTTAATATATCCTTCCTCAGACTTGCTCTTTCTTAATGTGTCTGAGTCTTTACCTCTAAGGAGGATAGCTTTTTTGTCCAATGACCCTTTGGCAATCTGGTGACACCTTCAAAACCAATTAAAATACAATTAAAGTTTTTTAGAATTTGTCATACAGAAATATAAGTGCATCTTTGCCAACGTGATGAAATGAAATAACAAGACTTAAAGGTGGGCCCAAATAACAAGGATAATTTCAAACTGGTGATGAGAATAGCCATATTCTGAGAGCTGCATAAACTGTAATGTGATATGAAAATATCTGTGATTTCTACTGTAGTTTGTTGCCAACATATAACAGAAGAAGATGCTAAATTTCGGTTAGGGATTAGCGAAAACAATGATATACTTGACTTCCTACTCAAGGTCTCTAAGGATCCCTCGGGGTTAAACCTCCTCCCGGGCGTAGAACCACTGAGAAGAGCGCTCCGGCATCCTAGAGAGGAAGCACGCGATGCTGGGCGCAAGGCCAACGTAATGACACACTTCCGTTGACGCAGCAGTTTCCGTTTTTGCCGAGGTGAGTGTTGCGGTTTGTTGCCCAGGAGTCGTTGCTAGGCGCAGGCACTTGAGCTGTAGAGAAGGCTGTCGGCTTTGTCCCTGCTGCCGCAGTGGAGGGAGTCAGGGTGGCCCCTCCGGGTCCGGGGAACGAAGGCTGCTTGGGTGCCTTCGCTCCCCAAGGCCCGCGTCGGCGCCTTGGGTAATGGAGGCTGTGGATATGGGCGGCTGGATGGAAAGGATGCTTGTGCTCTCGACACAGCCCAGACCTCATCTGCATATTGGGCCACACCTTCTTTCTGAGCCGCTAAGTGCCAGTTGCTGCTCTAGATTCCGGAGATGCAGCCGTGAATGAGGCGGGGTGTGGGCTCCGCCCCCAGGGAGCTTTGAGCCCAATGGGAAAGTCATGTGGAAAAGTCATGTGTTAATCACCTCTGGTCATTTCACTCTACCTGCCCGTGGCTTAGTGCATGTAGGTCGAAGACCATGTTCTTGACCTGCACAAAGCATGGTTTTGTCCCTTGTGACTTACTCAGCATCATCTAGCAGCACACTCCCCCTTGACTGTGCTACTACAGTCTTCTTGACGATTCACTACTAGAACATAGCTTTTGCATATGCTGCTACTTTTGTAAATATTTCCTTTATACCTTAGTTAATTTATATTCTTAAGCTTTCCCATCCAGGCTAGTTTCCCCTGGCAGTGATCAAAGTTGTGAACTTAAAAGTTATTTGAGGCCGGGCGCGGTGGCTCCCACCTGTAATCCCGGCACTTTGGGAGGCCAAGTAGGGTGGATCACGAGGTCAAGATATTGAGACCATCCTGGTCAACATGGTGAAACCCTGTCTCTACTAAAAATACAAAAATTAGCTGGGCATGGTGGCGCACGCCTGTAGTCGCAGCTACTCGGGATGCTGAGGCAGGAGAATTCTTGAACCCGGGAGGCGGAGGTTGCGGTGAGCCAAGATCGGGCCATTGCACTCCAGCCTGGGTAACGAGCAAAACTCAGTCTAAAAAAAAAAAAAAAAGTTATTTCAGAAAGTCTTGGTTAATGTATGTTTTTCCTTTAGACAAAGCTCCGCAAGGGACAGGATCGTCCCCCTTCTCTCTCTACTTCATCTCTTGTGTCATACGTGACCGGGCATGAAATAGATATGCGATAAATATTTGTTGAATGAAGAAAGCACAAATCAGTGGTATATAGGAAAAGGAGTATGGTATGAGTGGAGTGTTTAACAGGGACACCAAACTTGGTCTGTAGAGACAGATCATGATCTGAAGGTGAAGGGTGGCTAGATTACTGGAGAGTATGGCAGGCAAAGAATCTCAGTTACAGTGGTTCTGAGGTTGGAGAGGAGTAGTTCATACAGAACAAACAGTAGGTATGAAGGTCCTGAGTTAGCATAGAGGAAACTGAAAGGCGGCCATTGTAGCTAAACTAAGAGAAAAGAGGAAGGTGGCACAAGATGAGGCTGGCAGAAAACTGCATCATGCATTAAGTCTCTGTAGGGAAAACACTGGCTTTTTATAGAATATTGCTGTTTAACAAGAATACAAAGTGTCTGTAGGGGATGATATAGTTAAACCAATAATCCAGATGTTTTAGTGTGTTGAGGTGGCCCTTCAGGATCCTTTGGTAGTCAGTTTCTGGTTATTACCGGGCCCTTGAATGGGGCAGTGAACTAAAAAGTTGCCTGCCCCAGGTCGAAGTAAAGGAAGACTTACTCTGGGACTTTTTTCCTGAATTTTCTTGGCCAATCTTGTTTATTCTTTTATATTAACCTTAAAATCATTTTGCCAAGTTCTAAAAGCATTCATTTTAGGATTAGTATTGGAAAGAATTTAGTGTAGTTGTTAAAAGCATGACTTGGCCCGGTGCGGTGGATCATGCCTGTAAATCCCAGCACTTTGGGATGCCAGTGTGGGTGGATCACTTGAGGCCATGAGTTTGAGACTTAGGCTGGGCAACATGATGAAACCCCGTCTCTACTAAATTTATGAAAATGTGCCAGGTGTGGTGATGCATGCCTATAATCGCAGCTACTTGGGAGGCTGAGGCAGGAGAATTGCTTGAACCTGGGAGGCAGTGATTGCAGTGAGCTGCAATTGTGCCACTGCACTCCAGCCTAGGTTGACAGAGGTAGACTCTGTCTCAAAAACAACCAAAACAAAGCAAAACAAAAAAACCCTAAAACATGACCTTTGAAGCCTGGCAGATCGCGTGTGGGATCTAAGTTCATCCATTCACTGGCTGAGTGTCTTGGTAGAAGAAATTATTCTCTTAGCCTTCTCATTTGGGAAAAATTAAACGTTTGAAAAATTTTTGTGAGGACTAAATAATATGCATTTTCCACCCAAAAACATGACACTTGCTATTTTTTAACCTTTTATGTTCTCAGTAAAATTGATTTTTAAAAATAAAGGTTTGGGATTCCTCTTGTTAAGTTTTGCTCTGAGTTTATTGGTGTCTTTTGCTTGTTTTGCTCTTCATTTAGCTTGGTGTTGGTGAGGACAGGCTCTGGTGTCCAAGGATAAGTTATTTATTCTTTCAAAAGCTGTTTCTTCAGAATTAAAAGCCTCATGGTATGGTGTGGACTAAAAAGTACATATGTATATGCCACTTACCCAGTGAGCATTTAGTAAGTGATTGCGGCTTGTTATTGGCAAGTTTGTTGCATTAAGGAGAGCCTTTTACTGGGCTGAGCTCAATGTTGGTTCTCTTTGTTTCTTCCCTCAGCCTTTGCCTCCTAAGAGGGAGCCCAGGTGATGGCAGCCATACCTCTGAAAGCTCAATGCCAGGTGAGCTGTGGACCCCTGAGGTCAGCTTTATGGAGTTCTGATTTGAAAGAAGTGAGGGGTGGGAGCAGGTAGATAACGGTGATCCTGGCAAGTCTTAGAGCCAAACCAATAGGAAGACCCCTGTTGATTCCCTCAACTGGGTGCTGGGAAAAGAGGTAGGACTGGGTGCTGGGGAGAGAGCTAGGGCCAGTGAAGATGGAAACAGGAGAGAGTTACCTGGAAAGCCGAAGTACAGCCTCCTGAATACTGAGAATCTCTGCTGGGCTGGAGAATCTCCAGATTCAGTAGCTGTCCTCCTGCAGAGGGAATTCTGAGAATGAGGGACTCAGTCTGGTGACGTAGGGATCGAGGATAGGATGGAAGTGATCAAGATCAGCAAGGGCACAAGGTTCTTGGAAAGTAGGAGCGGAGGGACAGCAGGAAGAAGACAAGAAAGGGGGCCTATCTCATTTGTTCTCCAAAACAAAGAAGTTAGTTTGGGCTTCAGAATCAGGGAACATATATTCTTGAGGTCACTACTGCTGGCTAAGCGAGACAGTGGGCTGTGATCGGAAAGTCTACACTAGGACAGGACACCTGGAGTTAGGGATTTCATTAGGCCTCGGAGGCGTGGTAGCCTGGAGCAAGTCATTGACTGCTTTGCATCTCAAATGAATTCATTTGTAAATGCACATAAATACATTACATTTATGGGACAGGGGAGTTGATTTCCTGAATTATATTTCACTTTTTGAGCTGGAGTTGCTGCTTGGTCATTTCTTTCCTCCTGGCACTTATTTATCTAGTAACTTAGTACCCATGAACCATATCCCAAGTCCCAATCTCATATTTCTCACATCCTTCAGTTTTCTCTACCTGACTGTCTCACTGATACATCAGCTTCCTTGGAGTTCCTACCCTCTTCTGGTTTTTCCACAAGTCTCTGACATCACACTATATTGTAGTCCTAATTAATCAGTTTCTAAATTGCTGTGTAATTGTTGACTGTGTTCTTCCCAATACCATTTCTAGAAAGACACGAAGTCTTGTTTTTTCTTCTCCCTCTTTTACTTGGGCCATCTTTTCTATTACATTTAGAGTTTGTCATTCCTTCTCTGGGATTTTGTTTGCAGAGCTTCCTGGATAGATTCTGTGTGTATAGTTGTGCTTCCTGGATAGATTCTCTATGTGTAGTTGTGCACCTTCCCATTACCTGGTCACCTGATACACCTCAGTTTCCTGAGTTTGGATTTTATCCTCCAATACAGGGTTCTCAAACTTCAGTGTACATCAGAATTACTTGGAAGCTTTACTGAAGTGTGGACTGCTGTCACGATGGGGCCCAAGAATTTGCCTAACAAGTTCCCAAGTGATGCACCAGCTACAAGAATATAAAGTGTCCGTAGGGGATGATATAGTTAAAACAATAAACCCAATGTTTTAGTGTGTTGAGGTGCCCCTTCAGGATCTTTTGGGTAGTTAGTTTCTGGTTATCACCGGGCCCTTGAATGGGGTAATGAACAAAAAAGATGCCTGCTTCAGATCCAAGTAAAGGAAGACTTACTTGGGGATTTTTTTTCCCGAATTTTCTTGGCCATTCTTGTCTATTCTTTTATATTAACCTTAAAATCATTTTGCCAAGTTCTAAAAACATTTCTGTTAGGATTACTATTGGAAAGAATTTAGTGTAGTTATTAAAAGCGTGACGTGGCTGGGTGCGGTGGCTCATGCCTGTAATCCCAGCACTTTGGGAGGCCGAGGTGGGTGGATTATTTGAAGCCAGGAATTTGAGACTAGTTTGGGCAACATGATGAAACCCTGTCTCTACTAAATTTACGAAAATGCGCCAGATGTGGTGGCACATGCCTATAATCCCAGCTACTTGGGAGGCTGAGACTATACTCTGAATACCACTGTTCTAGTTTGTGGCGATTCATTCAAGAGGTTCCTTCGGGAGTTGATGGGGTCAGGTTGTCAGCTGGGCAGAGGATAGATTCAGTGTGGGACAAGCCTGGAAGTGGAGCTAAAGTGTCCCCAGCTGTTGACCTTGTGTGCTGATTGTACCATGGTAAGGAAGAGTCAGATTCCAGAAATATGTAGGTGATAAAATTGGCAGGACTTGAGTATTAACTATCAGCAGTTAGTGACGATGGGGCTTTGAATGTCTAGTATTAATCTCAAGTTCAAGCATTAGAGAGTGGGCTGAAATTGGTGTTATTATCAGAGAGGGAAAAATACTGTCACTCACTATGCCACTTAGTTTATATAAATTAGAATGGGAGCCATTTTGGGGAAGACGAGTTTGGTGTTGCATGATGAGCCAGTGTATTGGGTCCTCCAGAGAGTCTGAGGCAGTGCTGGGGTGAGGGGGATGTGGAGATGTGCAAAATCAGCTGAGGCATTGGAAGGTGGGAGTATCCCTGAGCACTCTGGTAATGAAGTTTAATACCCATATCTGAGGAGTGACTAGAGGCTCTAAACCAGGTGTCAGAACTTCGTGGAAAGGTAGAGTTGAGGCCAGCAGGGAGGGAAAAGAGTATCTATTGAAAAAGCATGAGGGACTGGGCATGGTGGCTCATACCTGTAATCCTGGCACTTTGGGAGGCTGAGGCAGACGGATCCCTTGAGTCCAGGAGTTCAAGACCAGCCTGGGGAACATGGCAAAATCGCGTCTGTACAGAAAATACAAACAGTAGCCAGGCAGGGTGGTGTGTACCTATAGTCCCAGCTACTCAGGAGGCTGAGGTGGGAGTCTCATCTGAGCCAGAGGTGAGCTGAGATTGTGCCATGGCACTCCAGCCTGGGTGACACTGTCAAAAAAGAATGAAAAAACAAGAAAAAAAGGAGAAAAATAACAAAAACTAAAACTAAAACCCCAAGATGCATGAATCTTAGTTGGCAGAAGCTGCTACAGATTGTCTTGAGGTATAAAGATAAGGAGCTAAAAGAGCTTCCCAGCAGCAGCCATTTAATTCTAGAAGCATCATTTTCTAGGAAAACCCATCAAGGAGCAGAGTCGATTGTACCAGGAGACTCTCAGCTCCCTCTGCAGGATGCTCTTGAGCACAGGCATTACAGCCCTTTATCAAGAATCATATGGGAGTTGAATGAGACAGGCCCATCAGTGCAAACCATGACTCTGTTCTTGTTTCATGGGCATAAGGTTTGGGGCAGGGTGAGCACATGTGGGGAAGAGATGGATTGGCTGGGAATAGGGAGTACCTAATAGGAACATGTAGGTCCTGAGATACCATTTGAAGCAAATTGTTTACTTGTAGGTGCAACACCAAAAAACTGAAAATATTTACTAAATCAAAGATTTTGCTGTGGGAAGGTTAACTAATAAGAAACTTCTTTCTTAGGGTGTAAAAGTGTTAAATCACATTTTATGACAGTAAATTTTGTATCCTAATGGAAGCTCTTCTGGTAGTGAGAGAAGTTCCAGGTTTTTGCTTGTAGAAATAGTCATATAATGGTCTGATATCCAGTTCTTTTCGCCTTTTGTCATTATGCATCCCTCACAGGACCTTCCCTCAACCCCCTACCTGTCTTCTCTGCCCCATACTCTGGCCCAGAGCCAGAGGATTGGCTCTGGGGTAGCTCTGTTGTTTTAGGAGATGGTGACCTTTGAGGATGTGGCTGTGCACTTCACTAAGACAGAATGGACTAGTCTTTCTCCTGCCCAGAGGGCCCTGTACAGAAGTGTGATGTTGGAGAATTATGGGAATCTGACTGCTATGGGTAAGACCATTTTCCTCCTAGGACTCAGATCTGTACTTTTCAGTTTTCTTCCTTCTTTTACAGACTGGGTGATGGGTGTGGTGTGGAGAGGAGAGGCTGTCTCTTGTGTCCTCCACTGAGCGACTACAGGGCTGAGGCTCAGTGACCAACTTCAAAGATTGCTGGGTAGGGAGAGGTCTTGAGTCACTTTGGTCTCCCAGTGAAGGGAATTACTGTCCCCTGGTGGGAGTATGTTTTTTCTTCCAAGGGGCTCTGCCCAGTAAGAAATAAGTAGTGTTTGTTGTCTGGGGAAGACCGTGACTTCTTCCCTGTGTTTGCTCATGCCTTGCAGATCTCACTAACTTAATTTTTCTTGATTGTTTTTTTTAGGAAGAAGTCACAAATGCTCAGTTTCCTCTTGATCAGAATCTCTCTGGCCTTCCCCAGTCAAGAACTCTCTTCTCTGGGTCTTATTCTTACTGAGACATCTAGGGTTTTCCTTCTTTTGAAACACCAGATACAGGGCTGAAAAGTACCATTTTCTTCCTTTTTTCAGGGTACCCAGTTCCCAAACCTGCACTGATCTCGCTCCTGGAAGGAGGGGACGTGGCTTGGGACCTGGAAGCACAGGATGATCCCCTGGCAGAGGGGACCAAAAACATCTGTAAAGGTAGGTGAGGCAGGTTTAGAACCAACAACTGTAGAGTTTTATGGAGCACTGTATTTAAAAGTGAACCATGCTGGGCAGAATTTAAATATAATAGGTGATTTCACCTAATAACTAAAATATGAAACCTTTCCCACCAATCTTAACTCATACTAACTTGTAACCACCCAGTACGTCTCATCAGCAATCCCTGAATCCATTGCTCCTTTCTTAGTTGCAACATTGCCTACCTTAGTGGTCTTCCTTGGTTGGGATAGATTTATTCAGGAGCAGTTTTTGAGCAACTTGCTATGTACCAAACTTTGTTTAAGAAGTTCTGGAAGATACAAGTTATGGAGGCAGATGTAAAAAGCTAAAAAGAAAAGTTTTAAGTGCTATTAGGAATAGGATAGCCAATGTGAAGGTAAAATGGACCAGATCTTCCCAAAGGTTGGCCATAAACGGGGAGAGCTGAGTCAGATAACACTGAGAAGTCATGGCATGAGAGGATTTTTTTTTTTTTAAATTCAAAGGAATTCAGAGCTGAGCACAGGATGGGAGGTTCCTTTAGAATAGGCAAGTGGATGACTAGAGCAGGCCATTGAGAAGGTGGGTGGAGAGTCTGAGATAAAAGGCAGGTCTGAAAGGGTACTCTAACAGCTGGGTTGAAATGACCCCCAGGGAGAAAAAAGGAGGGCTGAATCTTAACCATTAAGGTATGTTTAATTTCAGTGAGAGAAGGAAGAGAAAATAGACAGTCAAATGGTCAGATGGGTGCCACCAAGAGCAAATAGTGAAGCTGAAGGCAGAGACAGGAGTTTCAGTGCAGTTGGTCTGCGGAGAGCAAGTAAATGGAAAGTGATGAAGCTGGGGCAGCACTTCAGTCTCTTATTCTAAGAATCTGAAAAAGAATCATCAAGATAATTGAGAAGCTGGTGGTCTGTTCTCACACTGCTGTCTCTGGTGATGATTCTTTTTCAGACTCTTGGTTACCACCTTTACTTGCGTCTCAGATTACTCCTCTCCCAGCATTCCCCTTTGGAGTTCCCTTACTCCTTTAACTCGCACTCATAGGATGAACTTGATTAACCTGCAGATGAGTTCCAGGTACTGATGTGAAAGTTGAAATGATCTCTTTTAAAGCCTTGTAATTTTCAGTGCTCTATCTAGTATAGCTCTCAGTGGCATTGTTTGTGTTTTCTGTCTGTTACGTCAGATGCTGAGACCAACACTGACGGTGAATCCGCATTAACCCAGAAAATTTCTGAAGAAAGAGATGGGATGATGTCACATGGGCAGCTGAGGAGTGTCCCTCAGAGAACCAACTTCCCAGAAACATGTGATGTGGAGAAGTACCAGGACATCCCCACAGTAAAAAACATCCGAGGAAAGGTTCCAGGAATCCACTGTGCAAGGAAACCCTTCATATGTGAGGAGTGTGGGAAATCCTTCAGCTATTTTTCCTACTATCTTAGACACCATAGAATCCATACTAGGGAGAAACCCTTTGTGTGCAATGAGTGTGGAAAAGCCTTTAATGGCAATTCTTCATTAATTCGGCACCAGAGGATTCACACTGGAGAGAAACCCTATCAGTGTGAGGAGTGTGGGCGAGCCTTTAATGATAATGCAAATCTGATCAGGCATCAGAGAATCCACAGTGGGGACAGACCCTATTACTGCATAGAGTGTGGAAATAGTTTTACCAGTAGTTCTGAGTTTGTTATACATCATAGAATCCACACTGGGGAGAAACCCTATGAGTGTAATGAGTGTGGCAAAACTTTTGTTGGTAATTCACCCCTACTTCGGCATCAGAAAATCCACACTGGAAAGAAACCCTATGAGTGTAATGAGTGTGGCAAAAGTTTTGGAAGGACTTCCCATCTAAGCCAACATCAGCGTATTCACACAGGGGAAAAGCCTTATTCTTGTAAAGTATGTGGACAAGCCTTCAGTTGTCATACAAAACTAACTCGGCACCAGAGAATTCACAGTGAGGAGAAGTCCTTTGACTGTGTAGATTGTGGAAAAGTCTTCAGTGCTCAGGGACAATTAAAAAGGCATCTGAGAATTCATATTCAGGAATCTTCCTCTGTATGTGATGAGTGTGGAAAAGCCTTCACTAGCAAAAGAAATCTTCATCAACATCAAAGAATCCATACTGGAGAGAAACCCTATGGGTGTAGCAAGTATGAGAAGGCCTTTAGGACTTCTTCCCAGCTAGGTTATCTTGGGCACGTGCACTCTGGAGAGAAGCCTGTGCTGGATATTTGTCGTTTTGTCCTCCCGGAATTTTTTACCCCCTTTTACTGGTAATAGTACACTCCAGTGAAATGTACTGGGTGAATTCTGTCTTCTACTCTGGAATGGAATGTGTGACACAGGCCTGGCTCAGCCTCTGATTTATCCCTCAAGCCACAGTTACTGATTCAGATGTTAGTATATGACCAAAGATGGTCTAATTAGAGTTCCAGGATTACAAGAGCTAATAGGAAGAAATGCTCTCCTTCTCCACCCCAACTGGTTTTAACGCTGAGAAGAACTAGATTCTCACAGAGGCTGAGAATGAAGTCAACACACTAAAAAAGGCATCTGAGAATTGGAGAGCAGTTTAAGACTGAAGATAGTGTTTGAACAGCCACATCAGACCATGTCTGAACCTAAAAATACAAATGGGTTTTTGAATTGCAGTAGCCATTAAATTCCATTTTTGTTTTTGGCTTTGGCACATTTGAGTTAACTGTTCTTCCCTTGGAACAGAATTTTGACTTAAACAGTGTTGTTAGTCTTCAACATGTTATCCCTGAAGACTTATTTGAAAAGTCTTCAGGAATAACATACCCAAATGGATGGAGAAATGTTTTGTGCATATGTTATGTAGGAAAGTCTTTAGTAATAGCCATGGCAGCTCCTAAACCCCATGATTGTAATGAGATTGAGAAGCCCACTGTGACACTGGAGAGCCCAGGTTGTATCAGACACCACAAGTAAATAGAAATTCTAACAACTTGAGCTCTATAACAAAAATCTCGTATAGCAAAATTATGTCTGCACCAGTGAATCTGTTCTCAAGAAAAGTCTTAACTAGGAAACTAAAGGCTTTCACTCTGAAAGCTTTTATTTTCTGCTTATTCAGTTTTTTATTTGGAATGAATGCTACTCTAGGCATTAAACTGGGAAATGCCAGGCTATTGTAGCTATTATAGCGTGGCATTTGCTGTTTTAATTCCTAGGACAGCGTGCTCACTTTGGCCTTTGACCTGGGTAGGGAGCCAAGGAAATGCTATGGTTCTTAGTCATAAGACACTGCAGAGATACTGGCCCTTTTCTTTGGTGATAAACATAATCTGTACACTTCTTTTTCTCCCATGTGCCCTCCTGCTGCCAGTTAGTGTTGGAATCTTCTTACCCAATTTCAGACTTAATGGCTTATTGAGTCTTAACAATTGGGTGGCTTCACCACCTCTTCCTTGCCAGCAGATGAATGAGCAGCTGTATCCTGTGCTTGGGTTGACCAATGAATGACAGACTTGGGGAATTAAGTAAATGCTTTTTAATTGAAATCTAGCACAAACATAAAAATGCATGAGTTGGCTGGGTGCGGTGGCTCACGTAATCCCAGCACTTTGGGAGGCTGAGGCGGGCAATTAAGGTCAAGAGATTGAGACCATTCTGGCCAACGTGGTGAAACCCCGTCTCTACTAAAAATACAAAAATTAGCTGGTCGTGGTGGCGCATGCCTGTAGTCCCAGCTACTCGAGAGGCTGAGGCAAGAGAATCACTTGAACCCTGGAGGCGGAAGTTGCAGTGAGCTGAGATTGCATCACTGCACTCCAGCCTGGTGAAAGAGCGAGACTCCCTCTAAAAAAAACAAAACAAAACCCGTGAGTCATGGTTGTATAACTTGAGTTTTTTCAAAGGACATAGCCTTATAATCACCAAGATAAAGAAATAGAACATAGCACCTTACAAGCCTCCCTGTACCTTATTACAGTTCTTATGGAACCTCTACCCTGACTTATATCACCAGAAATTATTTTGTTCTTTTGTGTCAATGGAATAATCAGTACAGATTCATTCTCATTGCTGTGTATTATTATATTACATGAATATACCACAATTTATTGCTTACTGTTGGTGGGCATTTGGGTTATTTCAAGGGGGATCATTTTGGTGGCAGAAAATCTTAAAGCCACCCAGAAAAAAAACTGTTTAAAGTAATGGTGGTCGGGGGCTGCTTCAAATAGTGCTGCTTCATCCCAGCTGCCCTGTAGTAAATGATAACAGCAGTAAACTTTTTTGGCACTTAACATATGACAGACAATTTCCTAATCACACAGATTTATGCAGTACGATAACTATGAAGAGCGTGCTATAATTAGCTCCATGTTGCAGTTGAGGAGTCATTAATTAGGTTGCCCAAGGATGCAGTAGTGGAGTAGGTATTCAAACCCAGGCTGTCTGGTTTCAGAGCTTGTGTTCTAACTGTTGCACCATATGGCCCTACAGAGGTTGTATGTAAAGTATGTGACGCTGTGTCTTGGTAACAGAAGAGACTTTTGGAAGAAACAGATATACTCCTTTGGGGTAGAGGAGAATATTAGGATCAAGTCAAGTTTGGGAGGCTATGCTTGGCTTCACACAATGGGAGGGGCGAAATTGGCATCAGAGAGGAAACTATAGGTTGAGATGGAATCATAAGACATGTCCAATAAAGACTGTCCCAGCAGAGCTGTCGTGAAGGAGGTAGCATGCCTCCAGTATGCAGAGGATCTGGTCCCCGACTTACTGGCTTTGTACCTCTCAACACCGTCTGAAAATGGGTGTCTTCATATCATGTACCTGAACCAGAGAGCTGGCTCCACTGAGGTCCAAGTGAGACCCCCTCACTTCAGCTTTGAGGTGTAGGGATATCTGAGTGAGGTTTGTTTCCTTTTTTCAGGACTTCACTAGTTAGCTCCCTTGGCCCTAACCCCAGTGCCACTGTCAGGAAGCCCCCTCCAATTGAGTAACTGTCCCTGAATCGGTTATGATTAATGTATTAGTTTTCTTTGGCTTCTTTTTTTTTTTTTTTTTTGAGACGGAGTTTCACTCATGTTACCCAGGCTGGAGTGCAATGGCACGATCTCGGCTCACCGCAACCTCCGCCTCCTGGGTTCAGGCAATTCTCCTGCCTCAGCCTCCTGAGTAGCTGGGATTACAGGCACGCACCACCATGCCCAGCTAATTTTCTGTATTTTTAGTAGAGACGGGGTGTCACCATGTTGACCAGGATGGTCTCGATCTCTTGACCTCGTTCATCCACCCGCCTCAGCCTCCCAAAGTGCTTCTTTGGCTTCTTAACAGCAATCTATTCTCACAGTTCTAGTGGCTAGATGTCTGAAAACAGTTTCCCTGGGCAGAAATGGTTTTGTCAGCAAAGCCACGCTCCCTCAGAAGCCTCTAGGACAGAACCTGGTCTTTCTTTAAGCTGCTGGTGACTGCCAGCGTTCCTTAGTAGCAACATCACTCCAGCCTCTGCTGTCTTCACATCACCTTCTCTGTCCAATCTCCCTGGCCTCTCATGAGGGCATTTGTGATGGCATTTAGGACCCATCCAGATAGTGCAGGATAATTCCTTGTCATAGGACCTTTAATTTAGTCACACTTACAAGAACTTTGCCATTTAAGGCAACATTCACAGGTTCCAGGAATTAGGACCTGGTATGGATGGTTATTATTCAGCCCACCACTGCCACTGAGGTTCATCTGTAGAAAACCCCCCCAAACAAGACACCCTAATGCAAGGTAAAATTTGTCTCAGGAGTCTGGAGATAGCCCAGGGCAGCTGAGGCAGTTGTATAATATCAGTGGGGACCCAGTCTCCTTCCAAAGTACCACTTGGCCATCCTTAATGGGGCCATTTTCCTCATTGTCCAAGGTGGCTCCTAGAACTCCAACTGTCAAGAGCTTGTTCCGGACAGTAGAGGAAGAGGAAGAAGAACATTCCATTTTGCCTTAAAGAAGACTTTCTGTAAGTACCACAGAACATTTCCAGTTAAATGTTTATGTCAAGAACATGTTAGTCACATGACTATACCTGGCTGCCAAGGGCACTATATCCTCTAGTTGAGTGGCAGTGTGCTACATCAAATGACTTCACGGTTTTGTTTAGGAGGAGGAAGGAGAACAAATGTTTGGGTAACTAGCAGCCTTTGCCATGGCGTATGACTGCCGTCGAATTCTACATGTCTTAAAAACTTTGGTTAAGGAAAAAACTTTGGTGTACAGCTGGCTGTGCTCTTTGAATTTAAATGTGTGTAGTAACTCTAGGATAGGTGCTATATTTATCCCCAATTTACAGGTTGGGAACAGTGAAATCCAGCAGATTGATGGGAGGTACAGCAGATGCCTCTCAAATGCACTCACATCACTTTGGCACACCTCTGGCTTTCACTGTAGCTGTGGTGAACAGTTGTATGTTAACTTAGAGCTCCCCTTGCACTGCTCAGGCACTCCATATGCCTTTTGACATTCTGCCTCAGGCACTTTTCCAGAGCTCACTCGACTAGGAAGCACAGCCTGGGAATACACAGGGCAAGTTAGCAATCCCAGAAAAACCCTTAATAATGCTAGACAAGAGCTTGAGGATTAAGGTTCCAGTCTCTCACCTTTCAAGTGGAAAATTAGGAGGAATTTTTTACTCTTTTCTGGAGCTCCCAGTGCTCATATCATCAACCTTTAGAACACTTTATATTGTCATTTCCTCCTGTCCTGTCTCACTCACTGGGTTCTTTTAGTCCTGCTTCCTGGGATCATCTGCTGAATAAATGGGCATTTGAGTTCTTGTCTCAAGCCCTGCCTTCATGGGAACCCAAACTAAAGAGAGGAAGACAGAACCTTCAGGCAATAAGAATGTGTCTTATATTCCAGTAGTCAATATGAGTAGTCAACTCAACTGGAATCTTTTAGATGTTAGAGGATGGCCCCGATGAGCATTTCTGTGATGGAATCCCATTCTGTTTTCAGTGGTGGCTGCACATTTCTGATTTCTACTTGAAAGAAGCTTCCTCTCAGAGCAACTGTGCTGTGGGGCACAATGTTTTTCTGTGTATCAGTAACGTGCATAATTTTAGATAGACTAAGTTGTTTCTGTAACTATAGCTCTGAGTATTCAGGAGCTAAAACATGGTAAATATCAGTGATCAGCCTGTGAGGAGGAGCTGGCAAGGCATGTCCCTCAGATTATCAACTAAAATGAGCACTTGCGGTCATGCAAATAAAAGAGTCCTTAGTAGTGTGCCACATACAATAAATGATTTTATTAATTACTCAACATTTTTTTTGAGACAGGATCTTGCTCTTCCACCTAGGCTGGAGTGCAGTGGCATGATTATGGCTCACTGCAGCCTTGACCTCCCAGTCTCAAGTGATTCCCATACCTCAGCCTCCCTAGTAGCTGGGACTATAGGCATGTGCCACCGCACCCAGCTAATTTTTATGTTTTCTGTAGAGACAGAGTTTCACTATGTTGCCAGGCTTGTCTAGAACTCCTGAGGTCAAGCAGTCATCCCACCTTGGCCTCCAAAAGTGCTGGAATTACAGGCATAGGTCACTGTGCCTGGCAACAAATATTTATTTAGTGACTTATGTGTGCTAAGCAACATGCTAGCTGATAGCACATGATGATAGAACATGTTACTGATGAGCAACATGGAGCATCTCTCCAGTTCCTGCTGCTACCGCCCTGTTCTGAGCCACCAACATTTATTTCCTAGACTACTACAATTGCTCCTTAAGTAGTCTTCCCACTTCTGCTCTTGAATCTTTCTAATCTATCTGCCAATCAGCAGCCAGAGTGTGCTTTAAAAAATATAAAACATAACATGCTTCTCTTAAAAAATTTCAGTGTGTTTCCATTGACCTTGAAATAAAATCCAAGCTCTTTAACATGAGCTGCAAAGCTCCAATGATTGCACATCCTCCCTCTTCTCTACCCATGATGTGTCAAGCTTTCTTTTTTTCCACTGAAGGGCCTACAAGTTTGTTATTCCTCCTGCTTGGAATGTTCTCTCTTTGATTATGTGCCCAGATATCTCACTCATATTTCTCGAGTCTCAGCCCAAGGTCACTTCCTCAGGCCTTTCCTTATCTCCCAGTTAAAATGGAGGTAACGAAATATCCCTTGATATT